ACCAACCAACCAACCAACCAACCAACCAACCAACCAACCAACCAACCCTGGCCCATGCTTGCCAATATGGGCTCTCACCCTAAGGTTCGTGAAGCCCAGTTCGACCGACTCCACCGGTGTTCATGGACGTGCCTCGAAGTGCAAACGCGCGCGCGCGGAGGGGATTGGTGTTTGCCAGCGCCTTGGGAGATGTGAAGCGTTCTTTTTGGGCCTTGGTGTTGCTGTTGGAGTTGCGGCCGTTGTTTTGTCCTGGTTTCCTGTAGAGGTTCTGTTTGGGGGGGATCCAAAAGCAAGCCTCAGTCCTTTGGATATTTGGGATTTTATAGATGGAAGATGATGGAAGTTCCAGGGGCAGAAGGGGACCAGGGAGCCATTCGTTGGTGTGTCCAATGCTGGATCAAGAAGGTGCTCTCCGGTGCTCTCAATGCAAAACATCCATAAACATCCTGCACATCCCCCCCAAAACAAGAAGCCTTGAAACATCCTCAAGACTTTGCAGATTACCGTGTTTTGTCCTGTAGGTTTGTATCGTAAATGCTAGTGCCAGTGTTTTTTCTTTCCACCTCCTTTGGTTCGTCGGATCGGCGATGCCGCGAACGGTCGGTCAAGGCTTGGCAGCGACCCTGCTGACCTTGTTGGATGGCATCGAAGGCCCCTCCAGGACGACTGGCTTTTCGTATCTGTTCGTTGGTCGTTTTGGGGTGAGTGCACCCACCAGCTGGTCACCTAATTACTTCGCCAGCCACTTCGTTGTTGCCTCGCCACCAGCTTCTCCGATTTTGGCAGGGGTACTGCTGGCAGGGGGTGTTTTCGCAGGTGGAAGAATCGGAGGTTCTTCGTGGAAGTGATGCATTCCCTAGTCCGAGCTCCAGTCGTAGGTGCTTGGGTTCAGAGTTTAGAGGGTCCAGTCATGCCTTCTGAGGAGGTACTTGCTTGGAGCCCTAGGGTTTTTTCGACTCGACTGGGGCTCAGGACTCGTGGCCTCGCCATTTGTGCCAGCACCCGGCGCCCAGCAGTGGAGCTGGATGGGCGGCTCACGCGGCCAGGGCGCATGGACCGGTGGCTCAGGAGAGCAGGGCGGGTGGGTGAAGCTACAAACAGCGGAGGCTTTCCATGTCACCTGACAGATAAACCTTTTCCAAGACACTCTATGGGACTGGCACCTACATTGGGGTGGTGCCACATTGTAGGTGCTGTATTATACCTTTCTCTTGAATGTTTGGGTATTTGTTGACTTTATTGACTTTTTTGGGGCGCCGCATTGATCAGTATCCATGGATGACGCTCGCAAACCTTATGCAACTGGATGTTTCGCTTAACTTGGAGCGGATCATATTGATTTGGGAAGTGGTTTGTTCGGAGGTCAAAGCAACAACCACCACAGCAGCCGAACCAGCTGGATCCGCCATGATCCGCCGCTAGAGAGTTGACAACAGCTCTCACATGATGCGGTCGGTCGGCGTTCTTTTTTGGAAATTTCAACCCCAGCGTGCCCGCAAGCACCCACCCAAATCCACGAGGGTTCTGGCGGATTTGAAGGCTCGGCCTGTCCAAGCCAAGTAACGCCGGAAACAACGCCAGCGACCAAAGTGTTCCGGGCCGGATGACAAACTCCCCGCAAAGAGGTGAGCTTGTTGGGAGTGGGCGGGTCAGTGGGGTGAGTCAAAATAACTGTTCCTGATTCGTGTGAAGCGCACATAGTCACATAGCTTCTTTAGCCCCCCCAAAAAACTCCCACACCACGATTGTTGAGTGGTTTGTGACATCAAATGAACATGGTCAACCTCCAAGAGCCTCCACATCTTCCCGATCTCCGATCTTCGCCACCCGATACCTTCCCAAGTCACAGACAGTGTGACAGCGCACCGGGACCCGGGTCTAAAGGACAGATGTCCACCATTTTTTGGGGGGGTCGGGACCTCAACCATGGTGAGCATGGTGGTGTTTCACAGCAGTTGACTCCTTTTCACCGACTCAGAAGCTCTAATTGGTGTTTCTCCTGTATGTTCCACATGTGATCACATGTGCGTCCAAGATCCATGGTGGTGTTTTGATGTTTTTGGGAGCCCTAAGAATCCTTTCACCCTCCAAACTGGAGGTTTTGACCCTGCAGAACGCAGGGGTTTGGACCCTCAAAAGCTTCACCGAACTGAGGGTCCTTGATTCTTAGGCAGGTTTCTTGTTCATTACTTTTTTCTCGGAGAGCCACGGCCGGCTTGTCTTGCGGACACTTCGCCGGGACCATGTTTTGGGGCATCAAAATGGTACATATTCCAGACGCTCCAAACAGCCCTTCATCCCTCAAAACCATAAGGACTTGAGGGTCCAGACCCCTCCATAAGAGAGTTCATGAGCATAATCTGGGCATGGTAGGGAAGGACTCAGGACCGTCCCGGTTTCGGAGCCCAACGGCAGGGTTTCGGAGCCCAACGACTCTGAGCGCCTGGCCTTGCTCCAGCACTTCCTCGAACGCAGTGTGGAGCGCCCCCTGGCTTTCGCGAGAGGGGGGGGAAGTGAACCAAGCTTTTGTATAGACTGGATTGAGAGCTCCATGGCCATGGATTGCTGAGTCTTTTGAAGGCTAAGTTTATAAGGATAGCTAAGGAAGGGTTCCATTTGAACATGGCCATCAAGTTATTCCTACAACTCATCTCCACCCAGATTCCAGCTTCTGGGCGGATGTTTCTTCTCTTCAGGTCGCATGCGCTCGTGTGACCCGAAGATGAAGACTGAAATGGTCGGCGCCACGGCGGGAATGTGGCCTGGGCAGTTGAGATGCCTCGCGCAGAACGCCGTGTCACGCTGCTCGATCTCAAGCGGCGGAAAGGCCGATCTCAAGGATGAGCAGGTGTGGGAAGCGGTGTCTTGGCGTTGGTGAATCACTGGCCACCAGGGACGGGCAGGGGATGCTTTTTGGCAGAAAAGGCAAGTGAATCCACATCCACATCTCCCACGCCACTCGACCTGTGAAAGGCCCAAATGATATCAAATTATGACTAGCCAATCTCGCGCTGGATCATTTGGATGGCCTAGATGTTTGTCAGTCTTTTCCCGCACGTGCACGTTTGTTTCTTTTTTTCGAGCTCGGGGCATCGGAAAACGCTCGGAGGGGCGGGTTTCCAGAGGTTGGCCAGATATGACATCCCATCCCTACATGCTCCAACAGAATGCATTTTAGATTGTCTAACAGGTCAAAAGCATTGCATGTAAAGCAACTTCAAACACATGTCTAAAGCGGGAGCGGCAGCGGTTCATTTGCTTTTTTCTTTCAGAGATTCAGCATGTTGTAACCTTGAAGGAGGAGAAGAAAACAATAGAATCAGTAGAAAACAACCTGTTTCCTGGAGCCTCGATGCTTCAAAGGTCCTTCGAGCCCTGGCTCCGTCACTGGCTCCCACCGCGTCCGCGTCCTCTCCGTCCGTGCCCTCCGCGTCCTCGCTGGCCGCATGTTTGGCACGCGCCGCGGCCACGGAGCTGCCGGATGATGATGACTTCTAAGCGCCTTTTTTGATGGATCTGGCCGGAGCCAAGAGAATCCGCCGAGATGGGCACGGCCTATAGTTCTTGGGGACTTCAAGGATTACATATTTCTTCAAAGCGAACGCAGCTAGCAGCGCAAGGAGAATCAGGCAGATGGCCGGGGGGCATGTATGTGGGCCTTCCGCGCAGCGCCACGGAGCTGCGCTTGTGGCGTGTTTCGGAGTTGGAGCATCTTCAACCAGCAGCGGTCAGCCCAGCGCCTCCCGTTGCTTCGACCCAGCCTCCGCGGTTCCGTCGCTGGAGTTGAAGGCGATGGAGGTACCGATGTGAGCTTGCAACCCATTCATTGGCAGCATGGGACCGAAAAAGAGCTGAACATGGATGCACCGCTGCGTGGCAACATGCGTGGAAGCTGACTGGTTTGGGGGTTTTGGAGTTGGACGAAGTGCGTGTGTGTACCGGATTGGCTAAGACCATCCTCCCGCTAGTGAGCTAGTGCAGAAGAAGCCCCTTTTGTGCAGCGGTGCAACATGTGTTCAAGTCAATCCCACATCAATCCAGCACATTTGCTGGGGTAGCTGGTAGCATGGAATGGCCAGCTTCTGGCGGAGAAAGGCTCAAGCATTGATGAATAAGAGGTTGACCACGGGATAAGCAGAGAAGCTGGTTGAATGAATTCCAGATGATTGGGTGACGGAGAGGTGCTATAGACCAACGTGGGGAGTCACCATGGTCCGACTCTGTAGCCTAGCCTCACTTAACGTAGGAAACTTGACTCTCCCAAAGAGTTTGATCTGAGGTCCCCAGACATGACCCATACCAAGATCTGACATGATTCCGACAGGTCACCTTGATTTCTGACTCACTTGGTCAAGAAAGGGCGCAACGTGTTCTTTTCAACAGGTAGATGCTGTTGAGATGAACCATGATGAACCTGGGGATAGTCCTGGGCAATTATCCGTGGATCTTGAGGTCGAAAGAGTAGCCCTGGCCCATCACGCTTCGCCCGGCGCCCGCCACACCGCGCAGGCTGGCGCGGCGCATGCTGCGGCGGTGGGAAGCTCTCTATCGTGCAAATGGGTTTCGCCAGCACCAACAGAGCAGGGTGCTCATCGTGCCTTGATCGGATGGAAGCATGATCGTGGATGATCATGTTCATCGACGAAGAAGCTGAAGCACTGGTCAATTTGTATAAAGTGTTGGAGTCTGAAAACCTCAAGAGCTGAAACCGGTGGATCATGCGGTGTGTCGATGGACATATATATATATATATACATACACCAGGAGTCCCAAAGGGGTGCCTGGAGAATAGGGGTGCCCATGATCCACTCATTTAGGGACTAAAAAACAACGACTTTGTGACCACGGATAATTTTTGTTTTTGCATTTTGAGGAGCCTCGTGGATGTTTGAGGTTGACACACCACGGAGCACCTGCTTGTTCCTCCCATGCAGTGCTGAAGCAAAGCAGAGATGCTGCTTGCAGAATGCATGTTTTATTTCCCATGCCCTATAATACAATCATCCTGGTTGCATAGAGTTTCATGGCGCAAGCAATGCCCAGTGGACCGCCAGATTATTTTTCGGAGAGCGTGTGGAGGGAGAAGAACCTGAGGCACGCATTCTGGGCGCATGGCTGGTTCTCACACTACATTCCCTGGAGCTAGCTCATTATCGCGTCACTCAAGGCTCCTTGGCGCAGAGAAGGTGTTGGATTTGGGCGCCCCGGTCCCGGTTGTTCAGAATGTTCTTCGAGTCCTCCCATGTTGTCCACTTCGACTGGTCCTTGTCGTCCACTGCTGGCCATGACTTTCTTCATGGCGCCGCTGGACATGGCAACGCAGGGCATGGCGACACGAGCAAAGCAAAGACTGACTTGAAGATGAAAAAGACCACTTAGAGTCTTAGAGGTTCATGACTCTACCAGCATGTGAACCATGACCAAACCTTATGTAACAAAACCCTACCACTAAGACCCTGGTCATGATCACTCTAAGACCTTTTGAACTTCCAAAGCACCTCTTAGAGTCACCAGTAGGGAATCACCAGTAGAGTCACCTGGGGCAGAGCGCAGTTGCCGAGCCCTCCCCCCTACCGTTCTGAGCCACCGAACAAGTGCGTGGTAGCTGGAAACAGCTGGGGATGTTTGATGTGGAAGAATGGAGTCGGTGTTATATGGGCCAAGTGATCTGGAATGACATGCTTGCTTCGTGCCACGTGCAACAATCGTTCTCAAACAGTTCTTCACCCGGCGATTGCCGCAGTGCCAAGGACTGGCTCGAAGAGCGGGCTTCCTCCTACAGCTGGCTATCTACTGGTGGTGGACAGCACTCCAGAAGATCCGCCAGTTCAAGGCATCCGATCTTCCGGTCGTTGCGTTCTTCTTCTGGCGGAGGATATGGAGGGGAAAGCCTTGGCCGTGGGCCCAAACCTGATGACATCCCCTTTGGTTCATTTCCTGCAGTCCACGTGCAGGTCCCATAATACAATTCCCCCTGACACACACACACAGACAGAGTCAGTCCCACATGTTTTGGATGATTGAATTATAGCACCTTTTTGCAAGGCTGGGGTTGTTTGGCCATCACCGCTTCGGTATATGAACATGCAAGGGCGTCTCCTGCGTTTGTGCTGCTTTCCAATGGGTTGGGCTGCAGAGAGCATGAGAAAGGAACCAGCTCAGTGACCTCTCGTTCGAGAATGTTTTTCCCCAACAGCGAACCTAGGGGTCTTCAGCCATAGTAAAGGCTTCGGAGCAGGCTCCGGAGGAGGTTCCGGAGCAGGTTCCGGAGCAGGTTCCGGAGAAGGTTCCGGACGAGGTTCCGGAGGAGGTTCCGGAGGAGGTTCCGGAGGAGGTTTCGGAGGATGTTCCGGAGGAGGTTCTGGAGGAGGGTCCGGAACAGGCTCCGGAGTAGGTTCCGGAGCAGGTTCCGGAGCAGCTTCCGGAGGGACATCTTTTTGCACTTGTTTTCGCGACACTTTTTTTCAAGGGCTGGTTTTTTTGGTCGCTTCAGCTGCGAAGCTTGCCGGCCGTGGGCCTTGAGCTGTTAAGGAATTTTCTTGGAAGCCACTTCGCTGTTAGTTGATGTTTTCATTTCTATTTGGAGTTTTCACCTAGCCCTGGCTTCCAGGGTAACACCCCTCAACTCCACTACACTACATTATTGATGTTTGTATTGAGGTGATGTGGTGAGGAATGGGGATGGGTGGATGTATGTGGGAGCTTTTCTTGAATAGGACCTTGCAAACGAGGAACGCCCCGAACGACGCAAAGTTGCGGTGGTTTTCATTTTTTTTCGGTTGGCTTTTGGTTAGATGTGTTGTCTGACTGGGTTGCATAGCACCTCTTGAGAAAGAGGAATGCACTGCATGGTGCACACTGAAGTTTGGCTTCAAGCTCTATGGCACACTGAACACTAGGATTTGGTTATTACCCACTCTAGCCTAGAAAACAATCTTTATCAGGCCCAAGTTCATGATGTTGATCTTCATGTCTTTTAATTACGATGTTGCGGCCATGGTCAGAAGCGTGTGCTTGCATGTCGATTGGTTTGGCTTGGCTGTTGCATTGTGCACTGTATGCTGGCCCTTGGACTTTCTACACTAAGATTTGAAGCAGTGAGTGGCAACTTGTAGTAGTGGACCACTCAAATTCCAGGAGTTGAACGCCTTCTAATCTGGAGCAACTGATTGTTATGTGTGTGAGAGTGAGAACCATTGTTCCATGTGCTTTGTGTCAGTTTCCTGTGTCAACCAGTTTCTGGAATTCCAGAAGCTGGACCAACTCCATGGAATTTGCAGAGTTGTGCAATGAAACTTTTCCAAAGAACATACTGACCGAACGATGGAAACTTGTGTGACCGAACGACAGAAATCTTGTTGACCGAACGCACAAAAACCTGTGTATTGGCACTGACAGTGCCCGAACGACAGATATCTTGTTGACCGATCGCCAAAAACTTGTGTATGGCCACTGGCAGTTCCCGAAGAACAAACCCAGGAGTGACCGAACGACCGATCTCAAGCTGACTGATGCATCAAGTGGCCCAACTGTATGGGCACCGCCAGTTCCCGAACGACAGATCCCAGAGCTTACCCTGCCGTAGCTGTCAACCCCTCAGATGGCATGAGGCGCCGCCAGTTCCCGAACGAAGGAACACCAGGAACCATCCTGATCAACATCATCATGTGACAAGACAAGATGTGTGTAAACCAAAGAGCTTACCCTGCCATCTGAGGGGGGTAGCTGTCAACCCGTCAGGTGGCATGGTCACTTGAAGTGACCGTGCCATTTGAGGGGGTAAGCACTTCCTGGCTGACAATGGGTTTCACTGTCAGGTGCACCAAACCCCCCTCAGATGGCAGGGTCACTTGAAGTGACCGTGCCATGTGAGGGGTTGACAGCTACCCCCCTCAGATGGCAGGGTATCAGTGAACAGTGACAAGATTTTTATATATTTTTATAAACCAAATAGTGTGCCCTCTGTTTTTCCTATCAAAGGAAAGATATTTACATACCAAATAGTGCGAAGATCAATCAAGATCATGTCTTTGATGTTCATGTCGGTGACCAAGATGATGAACAATGATATGATCATGATGGCAGCCTTGATGTTCAAGGTCTTAAATGAGAAGAGAAGTACAGAGGTGCTTGTAGTGTCTTTCATTCATGGTGATGATCCACAAGAAGATCAGCATCATGATCTTAAACCTGATCGATATTCTTTTCTTTGATGATGTTCATGCTGGTGATCACGTTGACGAAAAACAGCCTGGAACAAGATGTTCAATGTTGAAGCGTAGTAAGAACTTGAAGGTCACAATCATGAACTTGGACCTGACCAAGACTGTTTTCTGATGATGATCATGTTGGTGTTCAAGGTGATGAAAAGGAGTGTAACAGTGTGGAACAAGGCTTTAGTTGTGAAGGATGATGAACGCATTGTAGTCTTAATGGTGGCCTTGATGATGAGCAAGGTTTTGATCTTGAAGACAACCACAGTGGTGTTTGTAATGATCCCCAGCAAGGTGAAAACTCCAAATACAAATGAAAACATCAACTAACAGTGAGGTGGTTTTTATTGTCCGGCGCCCGGAGCAATGGGAGCGATTGCGATCAGGATGACCGGGATGATCCCGCATATGGAAAAAACTGTCCAGTGGTTTCAAAGTAGATGGCGCAATCCCCTAGGCGTTTTTTAGATGTGGGTCCATATAAACCACCTTCTGGTGATCGTGCCATCTACTTCTTGAAACCACGAAAACAAATCGATGAAGGCGATTGAACACATGCCCATGGTCCTGGTTCTTCAAAGTGACCGAACCAAACGCCTATGGACGGTCACTGGGTGACACCAAAAAGGTCACGAAGCTGTTCG